ATATATAATCTATTAATAAGCTTTATTCGCTGCAGGCTGTTTTTCATGAAGGCCACTAGCGTTCATTTATTTTATTTAGAACTGAAGACACACTCTTACTGTTTATATAACAGCTAATGAGAATGAATAAAACGACGCAGTAAGTAGTCGTATATATACATAATATTGGTGTGATAATCACTTCCTGTAACTAAATGTACAAAAAAGACATAGGAATTAATTACATACTTTAGCATTAATTATAAAAAACCAATAGAAACCACTATTCAGTTAAAATGGGGAAGTTAAGGTTGTAAACTCTTACATTTATCACCGTGTAACCATCGACAACTAGCTAAACTGGCATTCTCACGCTCCTCTCGTACGTTAAAAAATAAAATTATAAGAATCATCTTTTGATGGAAATGGTGTAGCTGTATTGTATTTGATGCTGGACTAGAAGCTTTAAGGAGCAAAAAACAAAAACAACAACAACAACAAAAAACTACCTGTTTTGGGAAAGCCACACACACACACACACACACACACACACACACACACACACACACACACACACACACACACACACACACACACACACACATAAAACCAAACTCAAAGGTTTCTACATATGGCACCTTTGCCAACACGGAATTAAAAATAACTTTGGCACGAAAGACCTTACAGTTACAGATATACACCAACAGATCCTCGCCAACTTACCACATACTACCAGATGCATCATTGTCTCCGAAAGCGCTGAAGGAGTGGTCGCTGTGTTTATAAGTCAGCTCCCTTTGGTAACCTTCAGTGGAGAACAAGGAGAAATACGATTGTAAATCACTAAAGGTCACAGTAAATATTTTAGTTTTAGGGTAAAACTTACGAGCCCGAAATAATAATTAAGCACAATCACTCGCTGCGGAAAGCCACTCAAGAAAGATGTACCCGTTTTGTAATGGCGTTTGCGTTTTTCCAAGCGCTATTTGTTTTTACTTTCGCTCTTTTTTCTGTTTTAGTTCCTCCTATCTCTTCTCTTCTTTACTTGTATCCCTTTCTCTCTCTTCTTGTATCCTGTCCTCCCTTTTCCCAATTCTGTCTCCGTTTTATCCTCCTTCCCTCCTTTTCATTCGTTCCTCCCTTCTCATCTCAGATCTTTGGACTTTCCTTTCTACACTTCTCTTCCCCTCTGTTTACCCCTGTTCCATATCTATTCCTTCCCTCTGATCTCTTCCTTGCCCCATTCCTTTCTTTTCTTTCTGCTTTCTTTTTTCACCCTTCTTCTTTAGCAACTGCTTCTTTCTCCTTTCTTTCTCCTTTTCTTTCCCCTCTCATTGGGGAACAATTGTGGGTGGTGTAATCCCGTTCGCTGGAAAAATAATCCAAACCATTACAATTGAATACAATCTGCGTCTTCACCTCTCATGCTGTGTCACACCTTGTCTGGCCAGTGTTTAGGTTTTACTGCCTATGTCTCCCTGCCCTCATAAAAATGTTCTTTGCTTTTACTGTGTTATTCTCCTAGGTGCCGTCATTTTCGTGGCTGCTTATTAGATCATTAAAAAGACCTCCTACACCCCACTCTTCAAAATGCGAAGCAGCGCACGATATTTGGCTCTACTGCGGTGTACGGCCTCATTATTATTTGCCTTATTTACTCATTCATGAAACCTTACCACAGAATGTTCTATTTTGTACATTTACGAATAAGTATACAACCCTACAAATAAGCTCTTTTCGAATGTAGTCTTCGTGTACAAGACGCAGGTAGGTGTGGGGTGATGCATTCAAGAAAGAAACACACAAAGAAAGATCCGTCCCCACCCCCCACCCCCCTACTCCGAAAAAAAAATCCCGACAAAGCACATCCAAAGGGAGCTTACCGCTCTCCATATAATTTAAAGCTTTCTCAGCAATATCTCCCTGAAGTTGCTGGACAGCATTCAGATAGTCCGTGATGTAAACATCAGGCGCCAGACCAAGCATGGTCTGCTCGCCACATCCGGTGGGCATGCGCAGTAGTGAATCTAGTCCGGCGATACTGGGGCCCATGAGGTCACCTGAAGAAAAGGCAGAGAATACAATATTGTATATATCTCTTCATTCATTTACTTATTCTGCCATTCTTTTCAGTCGTTGTCCATTCAATCACATATGCATTCCTCAAAGCACCACCCAGCCAACCATTTGGATACAATCTTTTACTTATTCATTTGCCTGATTATCGCTCTACATTGTTTTTGATTCTCCATTCCCACTCACCCTAGCTCCTTTTATCCATCAATCAATCATTCTATCCACCCATTCACCCATCTGCCCAATCCTTCACATATTTGTCCATTGTTCCATGAGCCTCACATACGCTCCACCTTTTAACTACTCCTGCATCTATGATGGCTCTGTCCATCTACTCATTTCTCCATTTATCCCCCTGACTTTATATAAACACCATCATTTCATTTACGCACTCCACATCACATGCCTTAAGATCTATTAAACACCCTTTTCATTCAGCCACAGCAAGGTAAAACCCGAAGCTCGATAGTATCGAATGCAGACATCCTGGTTAAGCCCGATGTTCCATTGTATCGAACCCAGACCCCTCAACGCTGGACTCACCAACGACAGAGACTCTGAGCAGCTCTGATCCACTCACAACATTGGGCGGCAGCGACAGGTCTACGGTCTTGGTGAATGAGCTTTTTCCATTGGTCAGTTCCACGAGCACTGGCACATTGAACTCCTTGGGTACTCCTTCGGGCTGTGGGAAGCATTAATAATATTATTATAGTGAATAAAAGTTTTCTTCGCCCTTATACTGTGACCCCAACCCCTTCAGGTACTTGGGTCGAAACTGTTTTAGACTCTTTATTAAGAACGTGCAACAGGCGTGGCCGTAAAGAGGTTAAATGTATGAGAAGGTCCCTAAGAGCACGCCGGTTGCTGTTTTGGTATCGTGTTGGACGCCGGTAAGGATTATCCTCATTCGAATCCCCAGTGGCACAGTCTTAAACTAAGGGAGTATTCAAGGCCCACCTCTTTAAGTTTAGACCATAATATAGAGTTGAGAAGCATGTTGCATCGAGTCCATAATATGAAGTTTATCTTATTGTATGTCTTATTCTAAGCCTGTTTCCTTATTCGCATCCAACACTTCTTAGGAATGGCAGATAGGAGCCAAGAACAATATAAAATGAACTTAGATTACATAAACATCTGGTAAAAGTCATGTCAAATCTGCACCTATGCTTTTGCTGTAACCAATTTTGTGAAATCAGTGTAAAATAAATGTCTTCTGAAACAATTGAAGATATAAATATGTCCTTCTTGAATGTTCTTTAACAAGGCTGTGCATTACTAAAAGACATGTGACTTTAAATATTCCAAAGATAAATATTACCCATGAAGCTTGAATACATGAGCTTGCACATATTGGTTTCTAAGACTTGAATAATACGGGAACTAGAATATGACATTGTGAACGCAATTCAATGTGTGTATAAGCGATCTTTAGTTTAATGTGCATCTCTCCTTTTTAACCTAAGAGATTTTATTGGAAAGGTAATAGAAACATGAGTCGATTATATTGCTATAAACACAAATACGTGCTTCTATGAAATCATTATCAAAAGTGGCGGGGTAGGGGAGCTCTCGTGGTGTAGAGGTTACGATGTTCGCCTCTCATTCAATAGGTCCCGGGTTCGAAACCTGACAGCAACGGAACATTTTCTTCTCTAAATTGTTCCACTTTCACCTCCTTTTCTGCCCTCTTGCCATGTTCTGTCGTCTGCTTTCGCCTTCACTTTCTGCCCACCCCCTCCCCTTTGCCCCCATCTCTGGGCGCCTGACTCTTTCTGCAGCCTTTCTACTGCTACGCCTTGGCCCCTTTTTACAGCTGTCTTTCAGCCGCACCCCTGAATCTATGGTAGGAAAAATCAAACACATAACCCTCTCGGAATAGGGCCAAAAAAATTTGGAGGTCCCGTGTGCAAGTTGCGCACGTTTAAGATCCCTTGGTGGTCCAAAATCGATAAAAGTGGGCTTCGGCCGCCATCCGGGCAAAATCAAAAATTCCTACCAAACGAAAAATGTTTAATGTGTCCCGCACGCTCATATTACCGTATGCAGTTGCGAGCACCATAGAACACTGACAAAAATAGTTTAAAAGAAACAAACAACCGCCCACCCCCCCTCCAAAAAAACCCCCCAACCAAAACCTAACAAAAACTGGTGATGACTCCGGCAATTAGCAATTAGATTGCTGAAAGTTTTGATGGGATCTGTGTGTCCTCACCTCCACCAGCAGCTGTCTTCTCACGGCGTCCGCGGCACGGGTGCTCTGTGCCTTGACCTCCACATCGATCTTCCCAAGGTCAATTGGAACGATGGGGAAATACACAGATTTTGCCTCTCCAGACTTCACCTGTGAGACAACAGAACGCATCAAATTTTGTGAGTTTAAAAATTATATAAGAGGTTCTTAATTCATTGCATTATTCTGAAATCGTTTCAACTGCCGTGAACGCAATTAGATAATTTAGGAGGCCGGTTTTATTCAACAGTGACTGTGAGGTCCAACCCGAAATGAGTGGATTAGATCTTCGAAGATCTTTGCTCTTTTCCACTCACGCCCAAGGAGAGACTTTGTTTTATCAATTCGGGTTTTCCAGTCACTAACACGTTTTTTATGGTCACCTTTGCATTCTTACCTACAACGATACTGAACTTTGTATTTTTCCTTTTTCATTCCATAATACATTTTTTCCTAGTTCGGACTGTGACAGTCCTCGCACGTTTAGGAAGTCCATCTCTCTGTCATCACCACATTTCTATTCATCAACGTCGTTCTTCTCTCACTCACCAATACATCTTGCACGGCGTCCTCTTGCTTCGTTCCCTCCACGCCGTTGTTGTCAACGAAGATGTTCATAAAGCTCTTAGACTTTGTTAGAGACACGCGAACCTAAAGAAAAACACGAAGTAAAGGGAAACCATCGATAACTTCAAAACACGCAGAATAGAAACATATTCAACGGTTTATGAAAAATAAAAACACGAAACAACCAGACACAAAACTTTTTTTAAAGTGCTAAACATTTGAACATGTACACATTAATATTATCTAACGCAAAATGCAAACCCAATATCTGTGTCTGATTACGTCCATGTTATAACGGTCGCTTTACACGATTACCTAGACGCAGGCTATGATGACAGGTACTTTAATTGAAACAATTTTATGGGGTTGTTTTGTCCCTGTGTTAGCACAATCTGGCATACCGCTTTTGCGGTTCAGAATAAACTCTTTCAAGGTGAGAGATACAACATCACTGTATTGGGAGAACTAGCGGGTCATCATAAAGAACTCTTTGTACAGGTTGTGATATTATACACAAACAAGGAGCATTCCGGTCATTATGGTCAAATATGGTTTTCAGTGTTTTCTGATGACACAAGGATAAATAGCTCTGTAAAGGGCAGTTACCGTTTGACTAGAATCATGAACTATTACATGAGTACAGCGTATGCTCCTTGACTCCTGTAGATGACAGGTGCTTTGCGTGTGTGTAGATTTTCTTTCATCTCTGTTTCGTTTATTTTATGTCGTCAATCTCATCTGTGTGTTGTTTTCCTTTGCGTGTATACTGTTTTTCTAAACTGTATAGTTTTTCTTTCTACTATTTCGCATAGATGTTCCTACAATTGCGTCGTTTTCCTTGCTTTAGTGTAATCTATTTTTGTCTGTCCGCCTTTTAAAGAAATATATCCGTCGTTCAATAATTTACTTCACATGGTCGATTTATGATTTTGAGCCTTTGTCTTATTTGCGAAATGTGTTATTTCTCCTTCACACATGTCATTTGTTCATACCTGTGCGTCACTATCCAGATAATTAAACACAATGGCCTGTAGGGCTAGTTGCTCTCCATTGGTCACAGAGTAAGGCAGGTTCAAACTCACGAAGAAAGGGCGGAACACAGTCAGCTGTTGGGGAGAGTTGCATGGGATCAGTTCCTCAGTATGGTAGAGGAGTTTGTTGAAAAGTTTCTCAAAGAAAGAATGGATGAATGAATGCGAGGCTCGGATGGGAGGCTTTAGAGACAGGTGATCGGTTGTAGTTAGGTAGGTAGGTAGGTAGGTAGGTAGGTAGGTAGGTAGGTAGGTAGGTAGGTAGGTAGGTAGGTAGGTAGGTAGGTAGGTAGGTATT